CTGTTTCCACAAATTATAAGATTTAGGATTTATAATTCACAGCTCAGCACAGAGCTTTCCTCCTCTCCTTTTCTGCTGATTCCACTGGGTGACCCCCTGATTTTTACTGTCTCTCCTAGCCACCAAGCACAGTCTCAGTTTAAGTCCACCAATGTTCTTCCCAGGGGGATTGAAGGGGTGTGAGGTCAACAAAATGCAGTAAAATGCAGAAACATACAGTTTATTTGAACTCACCGCTTCCCCGGTCACTCACCCCCTCCATCAGCCTTCCTGTGGCAGGGCAACTCGCTCCTTCTAAGTCCTGGACTTCCGCTGGTAATCCACCTGTCAGGTTTATTAGAGTGGTTGCATCTGCAAGGGGTCAACCTCTGTGCCCGCGCTCTAAGCCAACTCCTCTCCTCTTCTCCAGTGGCGGCATCTCTGCTGGGCTCCCTGCTGCTGGCACGTGGGCACTCCCGGCATTCACAGCTCCACAATGCCACTGCTCCACCATGGACTCTCCTCTTCTCCAGGGACGTACCGCTGTCACAAAAATAGAGCAGAAACAGGCCACCTAGAATGACACGAATAGCTGGTGTCATAATCATATCTCCGACTCACTTAGTATATAAGTGTGGATCCATAAACCCAGAAAATGCATACTGAACAATATGGTAGTGTGACAAGAGCACCCCTACCTGAAAAAAAGAAGGTTACTAAGAGATCCACGCGGAGTAATATGGATTCAAATATTACAGGCAATACTTTATTTGATCACATAGATCATAAGGAGGTTAAACATGAGCACGGTGAACATGTCAAGCAAATAAAATCATTTTAAAAGCACTTAGCGTCTTCATATCAGGGTCATTAGGCAAGTAGAGTACCATATAAGGCAATATACGGTAATGGTGAGGTTATGATCCTAGGTTTCCATGAATTTCCAGCTTGTATTAGAGTGAACCATAAATTCAGCAAATATGTTCCCAATATAAGTCAGGATGTGTAGAGTAGCCTCCTGTGGTATGGAAGCTGGAACACAAAAATACACAAAAAATATATGAAAATATAGGAGCTGAATCACATCCAGGCCTCACCAAGCCTCCCTCTACAGTAGTTAGTGGACACCTTCATTACCTTCTTAGTTGTGAAACTGTCATACCCGCTTCTCAAATGTGGGGACTTCCTGGATAGCCACCCCAAGTGAAACACAGTCCACAGTACCAAATGATTCTGGGGATATATATAGAAATAAGTGTATAAAGCACAGGCATCAAGTGAAACCCTGAAAGCAAAAAACAAAGTATGGGTATATTACCATCAATAGAGATCAAGAGGACTCCCGTCGACTTGAAATAGGATCAGGTCCTTGATGCTTATTCAAAGGTGCATATGGGGGTGGGGAGCCAGGTAGTCACAGTACGTAGATTCCAAACACATATATTGTGTATATAGCAGGCCGTGAATACCTGAGTCTGTATACCCACTGAAGGGTTTCCAAAAATTACTCAATCTGAGAAAATTGAAGCGGTTTGAATAGGATATGGCTTTGTCACAGCATACAATGCCTAAGTAGGATAGCGTATAAGTATATATATATATATATTATCCCCTAAAGAGGATTTCCAAAGAATTCCCCGAGTATACAGGGTAGATTAGGCCCGTATAACATGCCCTCTTAGCTCCAGATATACTCTATAAATCTACACAGCTGTAAGCTTAAATAACTTGCCACCGGTGGAAGGTATATTCCCCTAGGGGATTGCCGTTTGCGAACCGCTGTAGTAGTAGACTTTATGGTAGTTTCCAGAGGGCCTCGTGCCTTCCTAGCAAGGAGCTGTGACACCGCCGTTCCTTCCCACCTCGTGGGCGCCGCACCCTATGAAGACGCCGAGCGTAGTGACGTCATTACGTTGACGCGTTTTGTCCGCCAATCACCGCAGACTTCGTCAGAACTGGGAGGGGACTTCAATCCTTTGCCTTATATGGTGCACTAATTGCATACCAAAGAGTCTCCACCTCGCCATCTTGTGTTGAAAGAGTATCACTACATTCAAAAGATCCAAAGTGAATTAAAACACATATATTAAATTTAAATTGACTGCTGGCAATAAAAAGGGGGGACCATATTATTGTAAATCAGATCATCTTTAAAGAGGATAATGGAAAGAAATTTTTATTATAGTTCAAAAAGGGGGGAGACATCAAGAGAGGATTCAATTTCCTAATTTTAGTATTGATCTAGTTATTATAAGAATTCAATATGTAGTGGGAATAAGAAGACTCACATAGTTAAATTCATACTTTATCTGGGTAGATCCATATTTCACTCCCCTATATAATACCCCAGTTTAGATTATAGCTCAGGGTATATTAGAGGTTCCAAGAAATTCAATTCAAAAAAACTCCAAAGTTGAGTTCTGTATTCAGTCCGTATGGGACAAGTGCACCCAGGGTATAGATCCAGAATTTTTCTTTTTGTAGGAGGACTTTATCAAAGTCCCCCCGACGAGCTGAAATATTAAGCAAGAAAAATCCCTTTCACTTTTAGACCTTCTGTTTTACCCCCGTGTACTTCTTTAAAGTGTTGTGCCAGTGGGTTCTCTCTTTCTCCCTTTCTTACATTCCTATTTTCATTTCTAATGTCTCTCAAGTGTTCACCGATCCTAGTCCTGAGATTCCTTTTCGTTTTTCCTATATACATCATCTTGCATGGACATTCTATCATATATATTATTCTACTGCTGGAGCAGTTAATAAAACTTCGTATCTGGAATGCCTTAGATTTATCATTATTAAAGAACTGATTAGACTTATGTACAAATGGACAAATTTGACAATGGCCACATGGAAACATACCACATAGGCCTGTCCTCCTAGTTAGCCAATTTCTTTGTGGTGCCCTCTGAAACTCTGATTGTACTAGTATGTCATTTAGATTCCGAGCTCTTTTTGCTACCATTTGGGGGCTCTCCCCTACCACTCTTGCTATCTGTGGATTTTGAGTTAATAAATACCAATGAGAGTCCAGGGCCTTCTTGACTTCATCCCATTGTTGTCCAAATTTAGTTATGAATCTTACCGGTTGATTTACCGAGTTCGCCCCTGGCTTTGATTTTGGTTTATTTATAAGCTCCTCTCTTGTTCTACCAAGAGCTCTTCTTTTTGCTCTTCTTAGGGTTCTATGTGAGTAACCTCTTTCCCTAAACCTCTTGTAGAGCTGAATAGATTCATTTCTATATTCAGCTTCTTCTGTACAGTTCCTTTTTATTCTCTGAAACTGGCCAATAGGTATTCCCTGTTTTAAGCTCCTTGGATGGTAGCTATTAGCTTGTAAAAGTGTATTGTCACCCTTGGCTCCACACCAACCCGGGGACTTGCTGTCAGGTGGTGGAACGGGTAAGGCGGGGGGGGGGGCTGCAAGCGATCAGGCAAGTGATCGAACAGCCCGACTCATTTATTTTCTTCGGCAGGGATCAGGAGCACCTAGTCTGTGCGCCCTGTCAGCACCATGTTCAGGCCCCTCCCCCTCTACACATCCTCCACTTCTGTATCTGTTGTTGGAGCATACACTTGGATCAGGGTGACATTGATCGGACTTCCCTGTAGACGACTCTATAACTGATAGTAATGTATTTTAGTACGGTCTTTGAGAGCTTATTGTTGAGAATAAATGCCACACTGTTTTTCCTATAAGTTTCATGACCAGAGTAGCATACCCAATGTTCCTTTGATTTAAAGTGTCCATGTTCTGTTCATTTGAGTTCACTGACTGCTAATAAATTGATGTTGGCTTTACCCATTTGATCTTTAATCATTTCTAATTTTCTTTGGTTCATACTACCTATGTTCCATGTTCCTATGGTGATAAAGTCTTTACAGCTTTTGATCTCCCTTTTCTGTCCAGCAACATCAACATCATGACATCCTGTAAGCTTTGATCCATCAGCTTCATAATTACCAGGCTTATTCTTGGTGACCATCAGCTCTTCCCTAGTAGCATGATGAGTGCCTTCTGACCTAGGGGACCATCTTTCAGCACTATACGACAGTGCTCTTAATTTTTTCATCATCATCCAGTTTTTTTGGCATAATATAGAAGTAAATTGCCAGGCTTTTCTCCTGTGCAGTGTAAGTTCGATGTAGTCACCATTGTCAGGTCAAACATGGTACATGATTAGTCTGGTATCTCTGCCAGAACCTGTCAACCTTGGGAGGCCCCAAGCATAGCTTTTGGCTTCATAGATACACGCAAGCCCTGACAGCGTGACAAGCCTATGTAAACTTTTACATTTCCCCTCACTTTCTGCCTTAATGACCATGATCATTAATATGAATAGCTGGTGAATATTCCCACTGAATATACAAGTAGGAATAACAACTTTACAAAGGGTCTTACTACTCAAAACTATCCAAAACTGAAAATTACTATTATTACTATACAGGATTTATATAGCGTCAACAGTTTGCTCAGCGCTTTACAATATAACGGGAGACAATACAGTTCAATACAAGAGGGATTTGAGGGCCCTGCTCCTTGGAGCTTACAATCTAGGAGGGTGGGGCTAGTGGTACAAAAGGTAGTAACTGTGGGGGATGGACTGGTTGGAAGAGTAGAAGATTCCATTATTAGCTTAGGTCAGGATAGGCTTCCCTGAAGAGATAGGTTTTCAGAGATCGCCTAAAAGTGAGCAGAGTAGGCAATAGTCTGATAAATTGGGGTAGAGAGTTCCAGAGGATGGGGGAAGCTCTGTAAAAGTCCTGGAGATGAGCATGGGAGGAAGAGACAAGGGGGCTAGAGAGTAGGAGGACTTGCGAGGAGCGGAGAGTACGGTTTGGGTGATATTTAGAGACAAGATCGGTGATGTAATTTGGGGCAGAGTTATAAATGGCTTTATACGTTATTGTTAGTGTTTTGAATTTTATCCGTTGCGCAACGGGAAGCCAGTGGAGGGATTGGCATATAAAACAAGTTTTGCCTTTACATACACTTTAATCACATTAGACTTGTTTACTTTTAGGCCCATTATGATCTGGCTATTGGTGTTGCACTGCAATGGCTTAGTTCTTCCAGTAACAAGGAGGCACTTAAAAAAGAAAGAATGTAAGTATTTTAAGTATATTTCTGTACTGTGAATATTGTGTTACTTGCAGTTTAGCATAAACCAGTGTAAATTATTATAATTGTAGATATCAACAGTTTGCATTGCAAGTAAAACAGTAATACAAAAAAAACAGCAGCAATATAATAACTAAAGGGAGAAGTAGAGGAAGGAGCTATTTAAGGATATATACAAGTATGTCTCTATGGTATCCGGACCAGCCAAAACAATCTATATAACCGCTAATAAAATACATCCTGCACTTAATTACAGTGCTTATTAAAAGAACACCTTATAACTAACAAACATAAAATCTACTAATGCTTAAAACCAGATATATGGTAATTAGCAATTACTAAAAATTCACTAATGACTCACTACTCCATCTACTGGTATACATAAATAATGCATAAAATCTCTCAGCTAAAATAGTTTAAAAAACATTTAGTTATATTAGTTTTATTAACCACTTCCTGTCCGGACACTTTTACCCCCTTCCTGTCCAGGGCAATTTTCAGCTTTCAGCGCTATCACACTTTGAATGACAATTGCGCGGTCATGCAACACTTTACCCATATGAATTTTTTACCATTTTTTTGAGACAGATAAAACTTTATTTTGGTGGTATTTATTCACCGCTGGGATTTTTATTTTTTTGCTATGTAAATGAAAATGTCCAAAAATTTTGAAAAAAAAGTGTTTTTCTTATAAAATTTTTCAAATAAATAATATTTCATCATAAATCCTGGCCAAAACTTATTCCGTTATCTTTTTAGTAAAAAAAAAAAAAAAAGCCAAATTCGTTTATAATCAAAAATTATAATTTTTAACATTTTTGTTTACATTTTTATTTTATTGTTTTATATTATTATTTATTTTTTTACATACTGTCACTCTAGCAGTACAGTGTCACCATGGTGACACTGTACTACTTGTGGGGGGTGATGAAGATTTTTTTTTTTTTTTTACACTGATTGCTTTTACACCCATATAGGATGTAAAAGCAATCATTTCTCTTTCTCTCTGTCTGCATTCTTGCAGCCATTGAGAACTACTGAGTGAGCTGTGATTGGTCACAGCTTGTCACATGGTACAAGGCTGTTGTGAATAGCCTTGTACCATGTGACCTCTGTGATCATTCACAGATTTCACACGTAGTAAGCAATTATGTCACAAGTGACATCTTGCTTACTACTTTGCATGTGATCACTGATTGGCCAATCAGTGATCACATGATCTGGACCTCATACAGAGGTCCCGTCTGACGATCGGTGTTTCACTGTGTCCGGAGGACACAGCGGGCACCGGATCGCGGTGCTGCGCGCTCCCAGGGAGCGCACACAAGCAGGGTGCAGGGAGGCCGTTTATAAACGGCCACCTGACCCTGCAGTGCCACCGACTAGCCGTTTATATACAACGGCCAGACGGGAGGTGGTTAATGAAATATCATAGCGCACCATCTACGCTTAAATAAATATGCTATAAAATAAACATCTCCTAAACCCAATTAACACCATCTACTAGTTTTAATAATTAAAACTAAAAACGCTTATAAAACAATTGGTAACAAATTCCACATTATGACCTGACAGGAGTAAGGTCTGTAACTCGTATATCCAGTAATATTCACGTTGACTAAAGACACAATTTTATTACTACCCCTCCAATGCGGATGGTATTTTTCTATTCCTCAAAATTGTAAAGAAGATGGATCTTTGTTATGAACAGTGGCAAAATGCCTAGATATACTATGGTTTTCAAAACACTTGAAATGTTTTGCACATGTTCCCTGATTCTTTTCCACAGGGACCTTTTCATTCATCCAATATATTGAATGCCACAAGCATTTCTAATGCACAAACTACCCACATGTAAGATAGAAGGGGTAGGAACAATATTCAGGTCTTATTTTTAAAAAAATAAAACAACAAAAAAACTATGTTCTGATTAAGTTTGTGATTTTTTTTTTAACCATGGCAGGTAAAAATAGGTTTGGGGAAGAGTTTTGGTTTTGGTTTCAGTCAGAGCATGGGTACAAGAAAGTTTAAAACTGGGTTGTTGATGTAGGTTTCAGTTATTGGGTCAAGTGTATAGAAGGTTCACTCTTCTAGTTCTCCTTTATTGAATAACACTATGTAGAGTTAATGGTGTACAGTACAGGATTTCTACATGTTAAATTGCACTTTTCAAAACTGCACCCAAGTTACTGCATAACTAACCTACTCAGCATTAGTAACAGTAAACTTAAATATGTTTTCTTCCATAGCAAGCTAGCATTAAATCAACATAAATACCCTAACCGGATGGAAAGAGAAGCTATGATTCTGTCTTCTTTTGCAGGAATGCTAATGGTAAGAGATATGTGAATTTTATATTAAAACATGGCACAATAAAGAAAAACATATTTTTACAGCTCTATAATACATGCATATTTTCACACATCTGTTATCCCTTTAAACACACTAAAAGTACAGAAAAATAACTAACAGAAAAGCTGCACACCAATGACATCACTCGGCTTAGTCAATTTTTCTATTCAGCCATAAAAGCAACGCAGCTTATCCCCACATGAAGACCACCCCTCTCTGACATGTTTCACCCTTACAGGCTTAATGATAGAAATTATTCAGCTTGATTCATTAAATACCACTAAATAACAAATAATTAAGAAAACTAAGGATACAACAGGTGAAGAGGATACAAAAGAGATCTCAACTACAGATGCATGCAGTACAATATATGTAGCTTAATACAAATTCTTGCCACATTCTATATGTCCCTCCAAGAATCTTAAAATATCTTTTATGAGGGGCATTCAAGTCAAACTAGGACTTTTGTGTTTATATAATAAAAAAAAACAAATTTCAAGGAGTGAAAATTGCATTTATTTTTTTACATACTCCCCTGCTACATTTGTACACTTATCCCAACATTTAACTAATGCCTGGAAAGCTTTGGCATAGAAGATATGTCAATGCATCTGAAAAATCCTACGACAGTTCATGAATGCTTGTGTTCACCGTTCCCACAGAAAGATTTGTCTCTTATGCAATTTCATGACAGGTTATATGTCGATTATCCAGGACTAAGCATTCAACATGCTGAATGTTCACAGGAATGACTGACTGCTGTGGGCTGGGAACCACCATGTGTGCAGGATCATCACCGACAGGAGTACGGCCATCTTTGAAATGTTTACACCATTCAAATGTCTTACTGTGGCTGAGCGTTTCATCACCATACTGTGCTTGAAGTCTTCTGTAGATATCCATGGGTTTTACACCTTTGTTTATAAGAAACTTCATCACCATGCACTGTTCCATGCATGCACTAACACTGTTGTCTGCTATCTTGATTAACAGTCTCTGGACTGGCCCACAACATATGCGTCACCTACAGTGGGGATCGAAAGTTTGGGCACCCCAGCTAAAAATTTGCATTAATGTGCATAAAGAAGCCAAGGAAAGATGGAAAAATCTCCAAAAGGCATCAAATTACAGATTAGACATTCTTATAATATGTCAACAAAAGTTAGATTTTATTTCCATCATTTACACTTTCAAAATAACAGAAAACAAAAAAATGGCGTCTGCAAAAGTTTGGGCACCCTGCAGAATTTATAGCATGCACTGCCCCCTTTGCCAAGCTGAGACCTGCCAGTGTCATGGATTGTTCTCAATCATCGTCTGGGAACACCAGGTGATGTCAATCTCAAAGGTTTTAAATGCCCAGACTCATCTGACCTTGCCCCAACAATCAGCACCATGGGTTCTTCTAAACAGTTGTCTAGAAAACTGAAACTGAAAATAGTTGACGCTCACAAAGCTGGAGAAGGCTATAAGAAGATAGCAAAGCGTTTTCAGATGTCAACATCCTCTGTTCGGAATGTAATTAAGAAATGGCAGTCATCAGGAACAGTGGAAGTTAAAGCAAGATCTGGAAGACCAAGAAAAATATCAGACAGAACAGCTCGCAGGATTGTGAGAAAAACAATTCAAAACCCACGTTTGACTGCATGATCCCTCCAGAAAGATCTGGCAGACACTGGAGTTGTGGTACACTATTCCACTATAAAGAGATACTTGTACAAATATGGTCTTCATGGAAGAGTCATCAGAAGAAAACCTCTTCTACGTCCTCACCACAAAAATCATCGTTTGAACTTTGCAAATGAACATATAGACAAGCCTGATGCATTTTGGAGACAAGTTCTGTGGACCGATGAGGTTAAAATTGAACTTTTTGGCCGGAATGAGCAAAGGTACGTTTGGAGAAGAAGGGGCACAGAATTTAATGAAAAGAACCTCTGTCCAACTGTTAAGCATGGGGTTGGATCAATCATGCTTTGGGGTTGTGTTGCAGCCAGTGGCACAGGGAACATCTCACGAGTAGAAGGAAAAATGGATTCAATAAAATTTCAGCAAATTTTGGATGGTAACTTGATGCCATCTGTGAAAAAGCTGAAGTTAAAGAGAGGATGGCTTCTACAAATGGATAATGATCCTAAACACACCTCGAAATCCACGGGGGATTACATCAAGAGGCGTAAACTGAAGGTTTTGCCATGGCCTTCACAATCTCCTGACCTCAACATAATTGAAAATCTATGGATAGACCTTAAAAGAGCAGTGCGTGACAGACAGCCCAGAAATCTCAAAGAACTGGAAGACTTTTGTAAGGAAGAATTGGCAAAAATATACCTCAAACAAGAATTGAAAGACTCTTGGCTGGCTACAAAAAGCGTTTACAAGCTGTGATTCTTGCCAAGGGGGGCAGTACAAGATATTAACTCTGCAGGGTGCCCAAACTTTTGCAGATGCCATTTTTTTGTTTTCTGTTTTTTTGAAAGTGTAAATGATGGAAATAAAATCTAACTTTTGTTGACATATTATAAGAATGTCTAATCTGTAATTTGATGCCTTTTGGAGATTTTTCCATCTTTCTTGGCTTCTTTATGCACATTAATACAAATTTTTAGCTGGGGTGCCCAAACTTTCGATCCCCACTGTATCAGTAATAGGACACAATTGCCACTTTCTACTGCATGTAGTACCGCCACGCTATCATCCCTTTTTATATCTGTAATATTAAAAGTCCCGGTTTAACTTGAACGCCCCTCGTATCGTTTTAGGGGAAGAAAACAGGAATGCTGAAACTCCTAGAAGTGATTATTTATAATAACATGTTACATCCCACTCATAATTCATTCCTTTTGAGATTCAAATGCCCAGTTTAAAAATCCAAAACACTTCTCATCTTCCTGCTCTACAAAATTTCTAGCTACCTTTGTAAGTGTTCTGTATAAAAGCAGTTCTGTTTCTTTGGAAACAAGCTTGGGGATAGAATACTACCCAATGTTGGTGCTCTTCTTGCCAAAAAGTGCACCCCTTTGAACAAAGTCTCTGTCTCCATCCAGAATTGTCAGACACCTGTGTACATTCTGTTTGATGTCTAGTAAAGACGCTTTCAGAGTTCAGATCATAGAAAGAATGGACTGTCCGATTAGGGAAGGAGACCGGTTTTCCTCTTTGAGTAGACATGAAGTGTTTTGGATTTTTAAATTGGACACGCACACCCCAAAATTAATTTTTTATAAGTGGATTGTGATACATATTACTTAAAAAAAAATGAATTTCTTCTATGAGTTTCTTGTGTCCCTGTTTTATATTTTGTGTGGCATAAGTAGTATGGTCTGTTTAGTATCTTTTGAATCAGTTCTGTCCTTAGTTTGCATAAATATTCCTTGTGAATATTGAATTGATCATCGTAATTAATCGCTCCTCCTTCAGACCTTCCTCATCTCTATGATTAAGCCTGTAAGGATGAAACATGTCAAAGACGGGCAGTCTCCTGGTGGGTATAAGTTGTGTTGTTTTTTTTTGGCTGAATAAAACATTTACTGAGCTGACTGAAATCATTGATGTGTGGCTTCTCCTTTTCTGTCAGTGCATCTTCATGTAATGAGGACAGGCTCCTTAGAATGACACACGATCAACCTTCCAGTGGTGGAGGCCTAAAAAGGTACCTACATGAATCACTGACAGAAAAATAATTGTTGATGGGCCAGAAATACAGTGTGTTTTTCCATTCATCTTTGACATGACAACTCTGAATTCAAAGCCACATGTTGACAGCCCTGTCTACTTCATTTCTGGTTCATTACAAAGAACACAGGCCTCTCGTCATTTCCTCTCCTCTTCCTTATCTTCATAACCCCTCCTTGTGCATAGGTATAAAGCACAGGAAGTTAGCAGCTTACAATATTTGTGGCAAGATCAACAGTTGCCCCTTCCAATTGACATTTGTGCAATGAGAAGATTGTTTTGTTTTACTAAAGCCAAAAGAAAGGATCATGGATCAAAATATCCAGAATGCTGATTTTTTTTTTTTTTTAAAACTCCTTAGCAAAGAGTTGGAACAATGGAAGTATAATAAAGGCACTAACCACCCAGCTTTGCTTTATGAAATACAGAAATTATGGCAAGCTACTACTATGGCAGCTGTGCTTTTAGTTCCATTGCTTGAGTGTTTTTGTAATGTACCTGGTGGTAGAACCTGGAGTGCAGAGGAAGGCCTCCCTTGCAGCTTTGGCTCGGGGACCCTGGTAGAGTAACAGGGAGGGCTGGAGCACGGAGGTGCACAAGTGCCTGGTAGGACTTCTGCAGATGGATGTTGATGTGTGTCTGTGATGCAGGAGCAACTGGTGGATGGCACACTGGCAGAAGTGCAGGAGCAGCTGGCAGATGACACGTTGGCAGATGGTGCACTAGTAGAAGTGCAGAAGCAGCTGGTGGATGGCACGTTGGCAGAAGTGCAGAAGCAGCTGGCGGATGGCACGCTGGCAGAAGTTCAGGAGCAGTTGGTGGATGGCACACTGGCAGAGGTGCAGGAGCAGCTGGCAGATGGCATGTTGGCAGATGGCGCACTGGTGGAAGTGCAGGAGCAGCTGGTGGATGGCACACTGGCAGAAGTGCAGGAGCAGCTGGCAGATGGCACGCTGGCAGAAGTGCAGGAGCAGCTGGTGGAGCTATCACACAGTCAAACTTTTGTAACTTTCTGGTGAGTAACACATTGAGAGACAACAGCCGCTTTTTCAGACAGCATGTGTATAAACAACCAAAAGCATAAAAGCTTTTGCTCAGGCCATTATATTCACGATTTCATCATCCTTAGGACAGAATCCTAGTCTAGATAATAGATGATGACCCTGAATGATGCTTGAACAGAAAGGGATAAGTCTCTCTGGGGAAAGGGGAGACATAGGCAGGGGGAGTACTGTATTGTGAGCTTCTTTGAGTGGAAGTGCAAACGTTACACCATTTTGTATACATGCTTTTAAAATAAAAAAATGTATTGAATACCGAGTGTGCTTTGAATACACTATTGTCACAAACTTACCAGTTAAAAAAACTTGCTTAATATTTGACAGCATAGCTTGCCAGTGGAGGATGTCTTTGAAATATATGGAAGCAAGCCTTCAACAACACACCTGCATAGTTCTGCCAAGGTACATTTCATAGCTGTTCAATGAAGCTATATTTGAAGTTAGATTTGTACTAAAACTTACAATATATGAATATTTTCTATGTATTATGATTGTGCATAGTCTTCCCCAGCTACAGGATTGCTTGCAATGTCTTTGTTGCAGTCAGCAATTTTCAGGTTCTTCACTTTAGCTTATTCAAGCCTATGACCAATGCTTCCTTTACGTTTTGTGGTAAAAGTCCTGTGTATACATAAATGCTAGAGCAAGATTCTTCCCCTTGTTTCCCAATAATACAATGAAATTATGCAATACTAAATACTCAAAAAAAAATCACTGAAGATTTTTAAATGACCATATTTTTCTTTATTTAAAGCATTTACTCAAGCTGAGTTTAATAGTTTTCTCTAACACGTCTTAAGGAGCCAACTCTGGCATTGACAGAACCCCAGTCAGTGTATCTCTTCTGTACTCTCCTGGTCTCAGGTAGTACTGGCGACCTCTGTAGTTGGGCAGCTCATAGAAGATCCAGTGGCCATCCAAGACATTGCAAGAGTAGATGTCATGATAATTAAAAAGCTCATGGACAGAAGGGCAATCATCTACAAACTCCATGCTCTCTCCTCTGAAGTCTTCTCTTTCATAGATCCTTATTCTGTAGGAACCACGTTGCTGAAATATTAAAGAACAATATATTTTACATTTAAAAGGAAATGTAAAAAACTGAGGATGCTTACTTTCAAATGTGCTTAAAAAGTTATGTGAGTTATGACATTTTTCTTTGATCCACAAAAGGTTATTGTGCTACTGTTGTTGGGTTGCCTCATTCTATTTTCTTCAGTGTGGATTCATGTTTTTTTATCCAAAATTAATTTTAAACTTATTTTCAAAAAGGTAAGTGTATTTAAATAGTGTATACTGCATTACTAGACATTATATTGCTTGTCCCCAAAAATATATTTTTTTTAATACAAAAACCTACCTACCCACACACAATACATATACACAAAACTAAATATTTTTATGTAGTGTCTTGTGGAGAAATAACTCATTCATTTTGAAGTACTGTTCTGCTTGATGAGAAAAAAGTGGTGTACTGTGTAATTTTTTTGGGCCAATGCAGCACTCTTTTATATTGTTCCTGTATCTATTGTTCAAGCCAAAACCCAGGATTCTTTTTAGGGCTTTCTTGTTAATGAACATTCATACTTTGGTATTAAATACCAGTTACAAGCTCTAGTTGGAAAGTACAGATTTATTCAGCAGGTTATGTCTGCTTCTATTAGATCGAGAGTCATTTTGGAAGAGATGGTGTCAGCTCTTTTTTAGAAGAGCAACATATTTGTCATCTTGGGGTCATTATGAGGGGATAGCACATATGAAAACTCTGCTTTGATTTTAACTGGCATTGTAGGAGTATGGAAAGGTGGTACATAACCTGGCACTAGATTAGTACAACATTTGCAATTGTTGTACATTACTGAACAACATTTGGGAAATAGTAACAAGTGACGATAATGAGATTTTTTAAAATGGAAACTCCACTGAAAGACCCTATTCAATTGAATTGGAAAATGCAGGACTAGGCACCAAAAATCCAAGATTTTTCCAGTATACCTAAATGCAAGGTATAGATGGAACTTAGTTGATCTTATGTCCATGTGCCTTTTTCCTGCTGCGCACAATGAGCAAGGGCATTCCTGACTTTGATTTACACCCACATTTCCTCTTACTGTCTACTTCTACAAACACACACACGCACACACACTACTGTGTAAACTGGTTTAACCAAATGGTAAAAACAACAACTTGCCTAGGTGGCAAGGCTCCCTAATCTCCATCTTTCAGGTAAGTCATAAAGAATATTAATTGCATTCATAGCAATTGTATAGATATTTCTGAAATGTGTATATATGTGCTATTTCTACCTACATAAATCACTGTGTAACTAGACAATTCTGTGCCCCTTGTGTTTCCTGATCCAGCAGCAGTCACATGGTCTGTTGCAGTTTTTGTTACCAGTTTGAGTAGGGATTATTAACAAAACTAAGTCTGAACTGATGAGCATGTTTCACTTAAAAGGAGGTCTGTGACAATTGCAGCATTTGCATTTCACTTGCAAGTTCTTCCAAGAAACTACAGAGAAAATAATAAACCTTATGGTCTCTTTGGTAAGTAGATTTATTGAATTATCAAAAGGAGACATACCTGAGGGATGATGCGGCAAGATCTGATGGAGTCATTGAATCCCAGCCATTGCTGGAAGTCAGGATACTCTCCCCTCCTCAGGAAATATTGGTGTCCAGTGTAGTTGGGATGCTCATAAAGCATCCAGTTTCCATTTTCCACGCGGATGGAGTTGCAGCGATTGAAGTAAGAGTGGAGGTCAGAACAATCAGAGCTGCACTCATATGAGCGGCCCTGGAAGTTCCTGTCCTCATAGAAGATGATCTAATATTTGAAAACAAAAGCATTGAAACATTGGTCAAAATCAAACTATATTTTTTAAACCTACATTGAAATATACCATAGTATGATAATTTTCAGCAGATTTGGCATGTTGTTTTTGTGTTTAATACATTAATCATTCTAATTAACACAGCTTTCTATTAGTTAATGTGCAGTTCAAGTAAAACAATGTCAGTCAGACTTTTTGATACTTTTGAAATACTATTGTCATGTATTAGGATAATTCATCCATCCATTTATCCATTTTGATGTTCGGTTATCAATATTGTTAGTAAAACATTAGCTGCATTGAGCTTCCTGTAGTATAAACTGGAGCCCTGGTGAAAAATCTAAACTAACACACAACCTGTGGGAAATGGATACATAATAGGCTAAATTCACTAAGATACAATGAACATTACTTACCAATGACTTAACTTGCTAATGACAATAATTTTCAGCAGTAAGGGCCAATGAGAATCGAAAACAACATTTACTTTAGTGAACATGACCATTCTAATCCAGTAGGTAATATCAGAGGTTTAAACCTGTATGATTTACTAAAACCGGAGAGTGCAAAATCTAGTGTAGCTCTGCTTAGAAACCAATCAGCTTCCATTTTTCTTTTACTAAACATGCTGATGTTAGAAGCTGATTTGGCTACCATGCAAAGCTGCACCAGATTTTTCACTCTCCAGTTTTAGTAAATCAACCCCATTGCTTTAACATTTTGAACCCTTTTCATATGTGAAGGCATCTTACCAAATTTACGCTGGAGCAATGCCATATTTACTTTCTGGTTAGTTTAAACACATGGTGAAAATTTTATCTATAGTTATTAAATTTTCGGAGTTCACAATACAACTAAGTTAATAAAACACACACCAAAACCTTACATTTGTCTGTAATAGTTGAAATCTTGCACTGGTTTAGTGCTTGGTGTGGTCTGTGACTATGCAAAAGATCTGACTTCAAGAGACTGTTCATTTTGTGGTGCCAATCAGTGACTGTACCTGAATAGTCTGTTGATGTCAGTCCTCCAGGATTCTTTTGCAGAGAATCCCATTGTCTGCCTTGTCATTGTTTACATGGCCAGGCACTAAATCAATTTACTAATCTTGTTATTACAGAAAACATTTTTTTTTTTATTTTTCTTTACTAATTTCATGCTGGTGTAATGATAATACATCAGTGGGTTTGTCTGTTACCCTAGATCCAAGTTAAGACATTTTTGCTTGCTGTCAGTGGAATATATAAACTGTCACCTATTTTAAGTATCTGACTTTATGCTAGAACTGTTTCAAGTTTAAAAAACTTTAAATCTGCAGCAAAATTAATGTCACATATTCATTAGCTGTACTTTAGTCATAAAGTAGTAACTGAGACAAAGCAAGGTGAATTATGTTACCTTTCCCATCTTGGCTGTTCTGCTGTTAGAGAACGCTTTGACTGAACACTGTTTTGACAGTGGCTTTGGGATCCCTTATATACTTCTGTGTATGAACAGGGCAGTTATACAGCAAGCTAGTTGTATCCATCACATAAAGTAGTTTACTCAGCAAAAGAGACCTACACAGGCTGTCACGCTTTATTGGAGAATTTTCTTTCTGTAGTCAATGCTTAGGCAAAAATCCGCTTTGTAGCATTCCGAAAACAAAGAGACTATGTCAGGCGTCATATATGGGGTCAGCAGATTTATTAGGGTATTTTGTGAATAGCCATTGGTAGCGGTGCTAGCTGGTTCGAGCACTCTAAAGCAAGGTACCAGTCGGAATTTTAAATAACATTTTACTAGGTATTTGTAAAACAGGACAACAGGCCTAAAAAAAAGTTAAAAAAAATACAACTAGAGCGAACTCTGTATATGACCACAAATATATTTTCTTAGAAAGAACAAATATTTATTTAATTATTAGTTAGAAAAAAAATAAAACCTAAAAGTGCTTTAAATGATGTTAAAGGTGAACAAATCAAGTCATTAAAATCGAATTAAAAATAACTATGTAATTTCACGAAGTTGGCTTATATTTTTTTGAATCTATAGCTTTTTTTTAAAATAATACCTGGTGATCCTGCCATTAGGGTCCTTTTTCAGGCATTTCCTGTAATACAGGGACAATGAACTGTTCATCTCCCAAATTCTTTCCTGTGTCGTCACTGTGTTACATGTACTTCTGGTGTGGAGCTGATATGTCTCTGTGCTTAAGTTCACGTTCTACCATTGCTCACCACCCTGAGCATTGACGTGCATCCACTACTAGTGTAAATGCGTGTGGACAAGAAGTGGCTGTGAAGAGGCTGGAAGAGATCAGTAGCACATAGAGGTAAAAAAAATAGGTGAAACAAGTGTAGGAAAAAAAGTAATTAGTTTCTGATATGTGGTACTTCATGGTGCAAAATCTGGTGCTCTGCATTAGAAACCAATTCACTTCCAGGTTTTATTGTCAAAGCTTAATTAAACTAACTGAAGTTAGAGGCAGATTGGCTATCATGCACAGCTGCACCAGATTTATTACATCTCCCCCTTCATGTCATCCAGTAAGAGTTTAGATCCACTTCAGTTGTTTAGTAACATGTTTTTTATATAAAAACCTACAGAAATCTGTAAAATATATAAATAATAATAAAAACAGTAATGCAATGACAATTTTAATAGTCCTAATTAACGTCCATTTGTGTATCAGAAATGAACTAGCAATTGTCATATCAAGGAATTTAACTAAACAAAGTTAACTAAACAAAAAAACACAAAGTACAAATATGTTTTTTCGCTTTTAATTTCAAGCTTTCTTGTTTGATACAGCACTGAATTTTAGCCATTCGCTAAGTCATATAGATCACTGATTTTCAAACAGCGCTATTAGTATCCCAGGGATTCTGTTGATATGGTACCATTGCTTCTTAGTAAATTCATCATATCTTCCTTGAATTTTAGAAAATTTTAAGTCATGTATGCATAAGATGTCAAGACTTTTAGTTATTTAAAGACAGAATCATTTGGAAAACAAATACTTATTAGCAGGTACTGGGAATATACAGTATTCCTGGAACAAAAGGCACTGAAGATTAAGAGACCTACACCAAAGGTACTTGGTGAACATTGACGTTTATGATTTGAGAAACACAGATAAGGATAATTAAGTGTATCCTGTCTTGAATAACATTTTAATGTGAGCATTTTTCTTCAAATATAATTTATACATTTTTTCTGTTTTTATGTAAATTATTGTTTGGACAACTAGGTTATTTTTTTTTTTTAAACGGACCCCTTAGCTTTTGGTGCTCATATATGTCATATGAGCTGCGCATGATAATTGCAATTGTTCTATATCATAGGAAAAAAAATCAACATGTTTTAAGATTTCTAAAGGCATGAATCCAAAAAGTAACTAAAGGGTCTTGTCAATGCCTTGTCCTTTCATTTTTATGGTTAAAACTGAGCCATTGCAATGTAGTTAATTTGGAATATTTAATAAAATGAATCTGCAATAGACATTCTGAAGCTGTTCATAAACCGATTAGATTTTCTTTAAATCTGATCTACTAGATCAGCAAAATGACAGTCTAATTTTTCTATGCTAGCTACATTTACTTTAGCAACTTATGGATGTTCCACATTTTAGCCATTATAGTCTATATAGTGCAAATAACAAAATGACATGACTAACAGTCATTTAATAATAAAACTGTTTATTTGCAGGGTCACTGGATTCAGCCCTTCAATCTCTCATTACATCCATTTGCCATGCTGACAGCACCTCAAGCAGCAAGACATGCTTTGAAGCATTGTAAGTGTGGAAGCAAATTACTTGTTTGGGATATTTTACCAGTTATAGGGGTATATTAAAAGCACACAGCAATTCCACAGCACAATGCCTCATGCATTACATATGTTTATAAATGTACCGCCTTTGAGAGCCACTAGCCAATACTTTGTGTCACATATGGTGCACAATCTTTGCTTTGCTAACAGTTCAGGATCCCATTGATGATCAGGAACCAGCTAGAGTGATTCCTGATAATGTGATCATTATTCCAGCTATGACATAGAGATCACATACAGACTATAGGCTTCACTGAAAAAATAAGAGCCTCTGGGCTTGTGTCAATAGGCTTTTGTTTGCTTAAAAGGTGTTTGGCATGCCCATGTACAGAAAGTCTATAAAAATGCAAAATTGCTTGAGGGAGGTCAAATGCAATAGGAAGATAGTCAACTGCAAATTAGATGAACCTGTTAATGAATTCTGAAGGATCCCAAAAGTATCTCAAACTGATGTCCAAATTAGGCCATAAAATCAATGTCATTGACACAAACCCAAGGCCCTGAAGCTATAGATTAACTACCACATTCAGGCTGCATTGTCATCAGTGTATCATCTATATGATGCTGTTAGTGTCAGATAAAACTGAGGTTGATTTACTAAAACTGGGGAGTGCAGCTGTGCATGTGCATGGTAGCCAATCAGCTTCTAACTTCAGCTTGTTCAATTAAAATTTGACAAAAAAACAGGAAGCCAATTGGTTCAGTTTTAGTAAATCAACCCCAGTGTGTCAGGTTATAACTGCCATGTAATCTCTATATGTGTTTCATCTTTTTATTAACCATAAAAGTAATATAATTGAAACTTAATTCCAGTTAGATAAAATAATATTAATTAAACCAGTTACTTGCAATTACTTTGCCAGTACCTAAATGTACTCTTGTTCTTTCCTGTACAGTGGTACTTAGACTACAGGTGCTCTGCCTCTGAAACCTTGACTACTGTGCAAAATGAAACACTGGTGGAAAGCTGATGTCTTTTTTATTTTTACCAAATACGAGACTAGTTGCAGTAATCACACTTCTGCCATTTCCCATAGAAAATTTACTTATATATTACTTTATATAGTACTTTGTGTGCAGTCTGTGGCGTCCTTCATAGATAGAGATGCTTATTAATGCATATAGCCATAGAAGAAATCAAGAATATGTGACTCAATATATAGAATATGAAGATACATTCAAGAGGTCCAGCAGCTTATGCATGGTCTAAGAACCTCTGACCATATGATTGTTGGTGCTAGGCATGCTGGTTGCAACATATTGGAAACTGATGACTGCATGGGATTTTCAAACACTACAGTCTTTAGAGTTCACAGAGAATGAAAAACAAGCTTCCTGTGAGTTCTAATCTTTTGGGCAAATTCAGCTTGTTAATGACAAGGGTAAAAGGACAAGAATCAGGCTTGTACAAACTAAATAGAGGTTCACAACTGCTCTGATAATCTCTTTTTTACTAGAATGACACACAGAAGGGAACATGGTCTCACCAAAATGGGGAAACCAAAGTAGAAAGAAGTTGGCTGATCTGACAATTCTCAATTTCTGACTTGTAGATATTAGGATCTTTCACTGTGAGATGGAAAGTAGGAATGCAACATGAACATGACAAATCTGCACAAACCATATTTTTGCTATCATCAGATTGGAAGGAAATCTTTGAGCAACATTTCCAGAACCTTATTGAATCCATGAAAAATTCAGACTGTTCTGAAGTCAGAAGAGGCCATACCCAGTACTAGAATGGTGTACCTAGTGTCCTCAAAGCATATACAATTAATAGGAAAAGTCTGCATTTTAAAATGCTATTCACAGATAGCTGCCTTTTTGAATTGCCAAATGCAAACTTATTTTTCTCCAAGGGTCCCCTTCACACCTATACCTGAGAGTCTCTGTGTGTTTAGTATTGGGCCTTTATATTTTCACTTTACAAATACACACTTAACTGTGGGCATATATGTGAACTAGCCACATAAACAAAACAATAGGATTTCTATGTGAAATACACATTTAGAGTGTATTACTGCAGGAAAGCAAGCAAGTATGAATAGGCTCCTGTTTTCTCTTTCAGGTACCAGATTTTGCAAGTATCTAGATAGAAATGAAAATGGTGCAACTGAAGATCAAAACTCAAAAGTTCTAGCTACAGATCATGAGGAATCTGTGAGTATTGGGCAGTTATTGTGATGACTTTATATATAAAAAGAAAACAACAGCAATCTCATTTTATTGAAAGTGGTTAAACGTCTTACAGAAGTCATGTAGGACAACTATGTTTTTATTTACTATGGTGTGTCCTCCAGTTACTGTAATTTTAGGCTTTTTTTCAACTGATTATTTTTAATTTGGGCAGCCTTGTAATGACGTTTTTTGTCTAGCATTTTCAGATATGATTAAAATGAAAGATATTTTTGCAAAAATATAAAAAAGAAAACAAGTCTTCAAAGCGTACCATAACTGATAAAGCAACTGTTGTTGTTCAGCAACTCCTGCCATTGAGATAAACTCTGAAGTTATGGCAAGGGTTGGTAAGGGTCTTTGAGTCTGATTAACCAAAAGCAAATAAGCTGTTCACTTTGTACTTTGTAAAGAAATTTACGCTTAGCTTAGTAAATTAGGTGAAACTCTGCTGACTTCAATCATCTAATCATGTGCAAGCAAAAATATATTTTTTTAATTTTCCTTGCACATAATTGTTCTCACCACATTCACTAAGCTAAGGAAAAATTGGTAAATCAACCCCTTTATGTCTTCTTCTCTACATTATACTGCTTGGTTAATATTTGGTCTTTTTGCTATGAAAACTAGATCTTCACAAAGGAAAAAAGATATTGTAGACATATCAAGGACAGTTGCATGTGCAAATATGGTCTGCTTACCCGTAGACACCTATGTCTTTCAATGCACTCCTAAACACATATGGTTGTTTGATGCTATGTAGAGGTGTGGTGGAGCAAGTGGAAGGGGCATTATCAATGCTGACTCATGAGGAGTAGGATAACTGTGAAAATTAATATTGTTAAAAGTCCAACCTTCTGATTAATTTTTTTTGCCAACAATCGCTATTTGGTGACATCTGCAGATACTTAAATTTTGGATCATTACCAGTCTTGCCATTTTCAATTGGAATAGGTGATTAGTATTTATGTATAACTTTAATTTTCCATCAGGCTGACCAAAAAGGTTTCTATTCTGGCAGATTTGCTTGATTTCTCAGATCTTATAAACTAGCATTGTTTCTCTATACTCTATATCTTAACTACAAGTTCTACTGGAGATGAGGATGTATTATCATCTTGTATGCAGCTGAAAAAAATCTGATTTTGAAAAAAGTATCTTTTACTTCTGTTTAATGCATTGAATCCTACACACAATGAAACTGATAGTTACAAGTAAACTTGTTTGCTGAATTGTTTTCAGATATTAACAAAATATTAAGATGTAAGGTGATTTCACATCCTTTACTCTGCTTTATCTGGGGATCTCTTTCGTCAACTGTTTAGATGTTTCAACTTCTTCCAATGGGAGTCAGTGTTTAAGAGTGTTAATAGCAGCCTGATACTTTATGAAGGTTTGTCCAGAAAACATTTTCTTGCTCCTCTCATTTACTAGTCTAGTTCCTCTTTTCTGATAACTCAGAACACTGATAATGCACCACCACTGACACTTACTAGGTTTCATAAATGCAAGCCTAAAGCCAATTCACCAGTTTCCAATTTATAACAGGATTATATGTTCCATAATGCTTCAATATGCTCAGGCAGTCAGACCCTCAGACTATTGAAGGTAAAGGTTTGGCAGCCCTAGATAAATGCATTTTGGTGAAAAGAAATTAGCAGAAACTGAGAGTTGTATAATATAGAGTTGCTATGTATTTTTTTGAATTTAAAAGTTTAGGATAAAACATAAATTGGGGCATGTGCATAAGACACTTTTTAATTTTTCTGCTGCTTTTATTTTTGTAAGGTTTTAAGATATTTCTGGCTTGTTAAATGGTCTTCAGTTCAGGTGAAGACAAGTCTATAAATAAATCCCCTAAATCAGTTTTTCAAACCTGTTCTCAAGGTCAATCAACAGTTTATGTTTTGTGGCAATAACAGGTAGCTGAATTACATTGCTTAGACACTAATCACCAACGACTGTTTTTCTGCTAGGACAAGTTAAAGCAGAGTTCAAATAAATAAAAGTCAGCAGCTACAAAAACTGTAGCTGCTGACTTTTAACAAACAGCCACTCACCTGTCCCTCGATCCCGCTGTGTCCTCCCTGCAGCCCATTTCACCGGCCGGCCAGTGTTCTCGGAGCCTACATCTTCAGTGTGGGCACCCGACCGTGACAGCTTGTGGCTTCACAGCCAGGTGTCCACTGCGCATGCGTGAGTAGCGCTGCTCTTTCTGAATGGTCTCGTAGTCTTCTGGGACCTGGTACATGTCCCGGAAGACTATGGGGAGGGGGGGAGGACAACTTCTGCTTCTGATTGCCTAGGGAGCGGGTACCTGTCAATTTTGGGTACCCGCTCCCCAAGGGTGCCAATCATTAATGGGGAGTGGGGGACCAGTCTTTAAAGCGGAACCTCCCTCTTTTGGGTGGAGCTCCGCTTTAAGCAGAGTTTCCTAAACTTTATAGCAACCATAGGCTTCTCATTGAGTGAGGATCTTAAATTAATGACAATTGACTTATACAAAGCAGGCAAAGGATATAAAGAAAAAATAATGATAGAAAATAATCCTCTCTATCACTTTCTGCTATTTCTACTAACCAGTAAATCATTAGGACATAGATATGGCACTGTTCAAGTTAAAAAAGACCTGCAATTCCAGCAAAATACTAGAACAGAACTGCATGAAGACTAGACATATGGGATAAAACACTGACCATTTCACTGCAAAGAACTTGCAGAAAGAATTAGATATCCTCAAAGAAATGGTAAACTGTCCCACTATGCAGAAAGTCACATTCACTGCTTTATAAATACAAACCTTGGAAAAGCCATAAAATTTTTTGCATGAAGTGCTGGGGTCTGATGTAACAAAAATGTACTGTAACTATTGGATGTAATCACTGCAGGTACATTGGGACAAAAAAGAATAATTTGATGAAAAGAACCCTTAGCCACATATTAAAAATGGGTCTGGATCTATTATATTTGGGGTTGTGTGGCAGACACTGGCATAGGGTGTACTGGATATTTTCAAGCTCTTAGGACAACAATCCAAGTGTTAGCAGACTTAGAGTTGCATATCATAGGACAGGTTTAATCCACAGTTTACTCTTTACACACTTAAACGATAGTTGCCACTGTGTGTTTTAATGGCAACGCACTGTTCATAGCATCCACTGTAGCAATTCTGTTTTGGAAATGTTTGTGAAACAATACTCACTGCCATGCCCAGACAGTGATGCAACAGACATTTTAAAATATGGTAGCTTCCTTCAAAGAGGCAAGGATTCTTTAATTTTTATTTGAAGCATTTAGTGATACAGAATATTGATTTAAAATATTAGGCTGCATCTGTGAAAGAAAATATTTACAGAAAAGAAATGTCAAAACAGACAATAAGCAGCAGCAGCAGCAGAATAAATGGGAACAAAAGTGAAAAGTGGTTAGCAAGTACCTAGGAAAGTAAATCCAATCTGAGACATCAAAGTCACTGGCTCTCTCATAAATGACCCACAGCATTCCTTCATAGTTTTGGTGGAGACAAGAGCTACAGAGATGCAGCCATATTTCTGGTACATGGATCAACCAAGGGGCTGGCTGCAAGGCGTTGAGATGTCTTATGATGTTCCTTAAGGCCCCTAATGTAAATATAATGACCTGATAACATAATAATAATTTGACACCCATAGCAAACCATTTTAACACCTCTCTTCTCTATAAGTCAAAATTTTTATCAGAAATAATAATGAAACTAATAATAATATTATTAATAATGGCTAGAAAAAAAAGACACAAAAAGTCAAAATTATTTATAGTAATAGTAATGAAACTAATAATAAAATTAATATTAATGGCTAGAGAAAAAAGACAGTTAAAATTGTAGTATCATTTTGGTACTACATTGGAGGTCAGTGGACAAGTCACAAGTGAATGGAGTTGTCCATAGTAAGGTTTTTATTTTCTTTGAGTAATTTTTGAAGTTTGTTAGAAAAATACATTTATTAATAGTTTGTGTGCTGTGGCCCCATTCTAATTTTGAATACATATAATTTTCCTACTCTTGCTTTGTTACAGGGTTCTGAAAGACAAGAAACATCAACTATCGCTGAGACTGAAGAAGACACAACAGCAAAAACTGAAAGTGAAATAAATCCATAAAGAAACTGAGAACATTCATCCCATTTTGACTTATTGTATTGCTTCATAAACACAAGGGTTGATCTACTAAAACTGGAGAGTGCAAAGTCTGGTGCAGCTGTACACAGAAACCAATCATCTTCCAGGTTTTATTGTTAAATGCTTAATTGAACAAGCTGAAGTTAGAAGCTGATTGGCTACCATACACAGCTGCACCTCCAGTTTTAGTAAATCAACCCCACAGTGCTTGTAATTCTGTGCAGTAATTCCAGTTTTGCCTAGTTTTGTCCATGCTTTTTTCTTTCATTTTGGCCTTCTAATTATTTTACTATTATTCTGTTCTTTTCTTCCCTATTTATAATTGACCTTCTTAGGCTTCTGTCGTGCCCTTCTAAGACCAAAGACAATACAGAAGATAGTGTGATCGCTCTTGTGTAAAATAGTTTATTTTATTCAAATAATATAGACAAAATCCAATCCAATCCAGTCCATGGGGAAGATGACCATGTTAAGCAGGAAAGGCAAGCTGACCTTCATAGACCGCTGAAACTGCCGTTGCCACACTGCAAGACATATGAGACACATTGAGCATGTGCCTGGCTGGTGACAGAGGCGGTGCCGTACAGTGTATTGGGGTTGCAATGACGACACGTTTTGGAGGTGTAGACTCCTTTATGCAGTCAAGACTGCAAGAACAAGACACACCTGACATGAATTTAGGAAATAATAATTATGGATGAAGTCTAGAGACTGGAAAACAATGTAACATGGGTATAATGTATTTACATTATTTGGATATAATAAGCGATTTTACAATAGGGCGATCTCGCTCTCTTTTACTTTGTCCTTGGTCTTAGAGTGTTCCTGCCATCCGATGGTCCGATGTATTTTTGAAACTTTCATGCACTTCTGAACTGTGTATACCAGCTATTGAAGGGATGTAAAGACCAGCACACATACTAGTGTTGTTTGTCCTGCCCTCCTGCCTTAGATGTGCCTTCCTTTGTTCTCTGCCCTCCAGTGTTTTGAGATTACCTGACTACCATTTTCATTTACCTGTCAGAAACAAAATATTTAATAATTTTTAAGTTTTGTGGACGACTAACTTGTACTTTCTCCATACTGGGGGCCACATGACAATTCTTTTTCAATCTGCTGATTCCTAATGCTTCCTGCTTGTCACATATTCCCCCCCCTCCCCCATCATACTTCACAATACTGGATATTTTTATGGTGGACTGGTGGCCTTTTTAAATGGAGGATAATGTATGGAAGTCAGGTACATGCTGCTCTTTATAAGAAAATACACAGGTTCCCAGTGTGAGCACTGTTGCAGATATGTTGCCTATGGCCTTGTTTCCTGGCACCAGGATTTCCGAAATTTTGCTTTTTGTGTGTGCTTGTTCTAGCCTTACATGTCTCCTAATGACCTTTATTAGCCTAGTAGCCCCTGCTCTTCATTGCTCATATCCGTAAATTTTTTGCCTTTTGCTCTGAAAGCTGAACTAAAACATTTCAACACAAATAAGGATTGGCTAGGATGAACAACAGCTCTACCTTTTTTATTTACTCTACTGCTTGTGAATTGGATCATTTTGTCATCTTTCAAAAATAATAATAAAACATAAAAACATTTGAATGTATACTGCATGTCCTTATAGCTTCCAAAGAATATTTGCACATTTGAAAAACAGCCACACAGTCAGTGGCGTCACTAAGGGGGTGTGGGGGATGCGAGCCGCACCGGGTGACACCATCACAGGGAGTGACACCAAAATGAAAAGAAGAGCTGTCAGTGGCATCCATCCGAGCGAAGTGTCCCCAGTCTTCTACCTGGGTACCAGGGTTCCTCATCCCTCCTGCAGCCCCAGGAACAGCCATGCCATGCGGGCGGTGAGATTTCAGCCCCCTTGTGGGGGGGGGTTCCAATCCCTGGGATCACAGCGGCTGCTGCAAGCCAATTCACACCCAGACTGTCCCCCGTACACAGGATCGGAGCCCGCCCCCCACCCTCTTATTGGACGGCTCCTACGCTACATGTCAGTCCATGAATGGTAATGACCCCGCCCCTCTGCATCACACATCACTGGCCGGTCCATGCACAAGGCATCCTTCCATCTCCCAACACAGAGCCTGGGACCGGGGTGACACCATGTGTTACCACACCGAGTGACACCAACCCTAGTGACGCCTCTGCATACAGTATACTGTATATATAAGAGAGCATTCCATTTTCTGAATAAATTTAATTACACCACCAATATAAAGCTATACTTCATTTACAGTATGTGTATATTATGTTCAATAAATGGCGGTCGCTTTTGGCAGAAAGAGAGGGACATTTGCATCATTAGGAGAGATTATAGACATTTTGGGAAGACAAGCTATCTGCATTCTGAACAGAATATAAATTATGTATTTATATACTTGTAGAAATGTAGTCTTTAAAGAAAGCCAAACATTTTTAAGATCAATAAGAAATATTGAAAATATTGTTCTTTCCTTAAAGCGATGCTAAAGATTTTTTTTTTCCATTAAAACAACAAACATGTTACGCAGTACTTACCTGCTCTGTACAATGGTTTTGAACAGAGCTGCCCTGATCCTTCTCATCTAGATTCCCCCACTGGTGCTCCTGGCTCCTCCCTCTGCCAAGTGACTAGGAATTGGCCAATGGCTCCCGCTGCTCTCAGCCAAGACTGTGAGAGCCAAGAGAGGGGAGAACAGCTATTGCAGATGTGAACAGCACTGGACCGAGATCAGGCTTATGTGAGTATGTAGGGTGGGCTGTGGAGGAGAGCTGCATTTAAAAGTTGTTGTTTTTTATTTTAATGCAGAAGAAGAAATATTTTACCTTTACAACAACTTCAAGGCCTCATTCACACCATGTACAGAGACGTGAGTTTTTCTGCACCTGTTTCTGCAAGGGCACATTGAAAACAATTGTTCTCTATGTGCCCTATTCACACCATGACACTAATATCATATGCAGAAATCTGTAACGTGTATGCATGGAGAAAAAACTGACCTGACATCAAGATTGTGGTGTGAACAGGACACATTTTCTTTATTTTTTATTTATTTATTTCAGGTACTTATATAGCGCCGTCAATTTACGCAGCGCTTTTAAATATATATTGTACATTCACATCAGTCCCTAACCCTCAATGGGTGTACAGTCTAAGGTCCCTAACTCACATTCATAAACATACTAGGGTCAATTTAGACAGGAGCCAATTCACCTACCAGCATGTCTTTGGAGCATGGGAAGAAACCGGCGTACCCGGAGGAAACCCACACAAGCACAGGGAGAACATGCAAACTCCAGGCAGGTGGTACAGTGGTTGGCATTTGAACCAATGACCCTAGTACTGCCAGGCGGAAGTGCTAACCATTTAGCCACTGTCCTGCCGTATAGAGCAATTGGTTTTTCTTGCCCTTGATGAGAATTTATTTTACATATCTCTGCACTTAAAAATTAGCATGTGGTACCAGTGGTTGGTGTTATCAGAACACAGAGAAAACAGTTGTTTACTTTGTGTCCTTGCAGAGATGTACATAATAAATATACTTGTCTCGGCACATGGTGTGAACAAGAACATGTCAAAACTGCACATTTTTTCCATCAACTTTTATGCATGTATGGTGTGAACAAGGCCTAAAGCAACCTATGTATATAATAAAACTATACATTTAACACTTCATCAATAGGTAAAACACCTTCTTGTTCCTGAATGTCTATTTATATTTTATGTAGAGCCACCTGTGACCATTAAATATTGGGTCGTTCTGTTATGCAACAAGCTTCTGTGGTTGCTGTTTCTTTTAAGGAGAATTTACATTTTACTACTACAACTAGAAGAACTCAAGTTCATATATATTTTATTTAATTTTTAGAAAAGTATTTAAAATTAGGGTTCTAATTGTAGTTGGAATAGGTGAATCCAAAAGGCAGAAGGGTTATCAGCTTATCAAAATTTGAATTGCAGTTAGAATAAGTGAATCCAAGAAGAAGGGTAATACGCTTATCAAAATAGTTTAAGGTTTTTAATCAGAGCTGAGAAATGCAATACCATGCATGTATTAAAAGAAAAAAAAAACTGTGATGCAAAATAAATACATATGTGGTAAGATGCCCCTGCAAAAATTATATGGACTGCACATATGACATAGAACATATCTAAATTATAGTTACATAAATTCCTAATGCAGAAGTTATAAATTTATACTTCGAGGTATGATATCTTGCGAGCAATTATCGCATGATTTAATCATCCATTGCATGCGTTGGTGGTTCCTTGCTGTTCTGCTATCTTATCGATGGATTCATCGCATGATTATTTTTCTTAATGAACAATGAGATGAAAATCCCTCTAACAATGGGTAAGTACAAAGGATACATGTCACCCTATAGAACACAGACAGAGCTGGCTCACCTCTACTGACAGAAAGGGGCCTCAATTGCTTTTTGTGCACTTTTTAAAAGCCTATAGTTGTGCAGAGTATATAAGAGACAACTGCCAGAAAAAACACTGCGATTTGCAGACCAGTAAACAAGCCAAAATGGGAAAGGTAAGATTTACTATACAGTATAATATATATTCTTTAATAATATTTATCATTTTAAACACCTTTCCTTGTATCTGTTTACATCTAATAAATAAAATAATTATTGCAGCATACATGGTCTGCAAAATACTAAGAAGTTTTATACGCCACACGAAAAGATGTTTCAAACAAAGATGACTAGTTTGACTTTAACCACAGATTTGATTAGTTATAGTGAGTAGTTTAGTTTAGTTTTAATTAGTTCTGTGTGGATTACTGATTTGCTCTTATAGTTATTATCTTTGTATATGAAATCTATTTATTGCAAATATTTTAATTTAATCCATATAAACCCCATATGTGAACCATTATTACGTCTGTAAAATATAAAAAAGTAATACCTTCCAGTAGTATGATAGTATGCTTGTGTACAACACCAATACTCTGTATTAAATGTTTGATTTGATCATTATACAAAGTGAACACACAGTTTGTTTCCCCGCTTTTTATAAAAGTTTTTTTTTCTTTTTTATATTCAAATATTCTTTATTGAAATTTTTTCCAACAAATATAGTAACATGTAAAGAACAGAGAGACAATGTTGGTTCTTTGTTGTACAGATGATTAGGGTAAAGGTTAACAATTCCATCATTTTATAAAAGTTTTAATATAGCTGCAGATTGAGGTAAAATTACCTTATTTGGTTCACACACATTGCAGGATGTGTATTTCTGTATGTACACATCTGTTATATGTAGACCCTCATCTTGCATCTAAACACCAAGAAAGTATATGACCTCTTTTTTTGCAGCTCAGGTGCTTACTGGTGTATGTGGAGTGTTGATGGTCATGTGAGTTGTTTGTTGCATGGATTTCCATTAGCACATTCCAGAAATGTAACACACACCAACACAGATTACATTGTGCACCCATAGATGTGAACGGGCCTAAATGGGATTTACATCCTCTGGGAGAGACCCTGGTGGTGGTCTGTAGGAAAATTGTAGCTTTTGCTACACAAGCAGATAGTTAATTTACATATTTAGCAAGGATGCAGATCATTCTCAATCAAATGCAAAAAATGCATTACATGAAAAAAAGTATGTTTTGAAGCATTATTAAAACCAAAACCAAAAAGGTATTATACTGTAGCTTATCAATCATTAGTTGTGGTGGCTGCCTCAGTTTTCTTTTCATTGGCTTTCTTCCCTCACCTGATGATCTGGCCAGTAACACACCTCCTGTATTAGACTTCAAAAAAGAGAAGAAAAGGGGGTTCCTGATCAGTAGCCAACATCCCCAGAATTACAACATAAATAAAGGGAAAAGACCCCCTATAGGACTTGGGACTTTGAAGGCATTAATATATACCAAAAAAAAGTTTTAAAAAAGTACAAGCTTTTTATTGTGTCAAAAAATTATTTTGACCTGTAGACATACCATACAATACATCATCCAAAGTTATAGTACAGCATCACCATCAAAGTATAAATTGCACAATAAGGATACCTAGTATGACTAGACAAACATAATGGCTAGTCAAACATAGTCATACTGGGTATCCTTATGCAATTTATACTTTGATGGTGATGCTGTACTATAACTTTGGATGATGTATTGTATGGTATGTCTACAGGTCAAAATAATTTTTTGACACAATAAAAATCTTGTACTTTTTATAAAACTTTTTTTGGTAAATATTTATGCCTTCAAAGTCCCAAGTCCTATAAGGGGTCTTTTCCCTGTATTAGAGTACCCACACTCTGGATGAAGGAGCACGGGGGGCACAGCATTGAGCATTGTCAGTCAGGGGGGCTGGGGTAGTGTTAAATGAGTTAGCAGATTTCAATACAATAATAAATTGAAGCCAAACTCCAGGTACACTTCATAATAAGTTGCAGCAAACAGTGTTTTCCTTTTTAGGTAAAGGTTTTACATGAATAAATAAGAGCCCATCCTTTTAATCACCCCTGCCAATGGTAAATGGATTGTTTAATCCCTGTAAACTGATACAGTCTGTGGAGAGTTTCAGCTTTTGAAACACAACAGACTTATTGCCTGAATCACCAGATGAAAATAGAGAAAAGAAAACTAATGTAGCCATCACATCTAAGAATTGTTAAGCAGCAATATAATAAATGTTTGCTTTTGGGTTTAATATTTCTTTATATGTATATCAAACCAGTTATTGATAGAGTAGAGAAAGTATAGAATTTTACTACTATTCTGAGCTCTATTAGGGTGAGTTACCCTAACTTCCTGTCTTTCTGACTGGAAGAAAGAGAAATATGCAACAGAGGCACAGACAGAAGTACAAGTTTGACAAAAATTCTATTCTTACCCAGATAGCAGTAAAAACTCAACAAGGGTTCTAACATTCCCATCCATTACCACATTCCCACCCTAAGTCTTGGGACAGAGGAATAAGCTGTAATACATAGTCGTTGCTCCTTTAGCAGCTAGAGCTCCCTTCTTCTCTCAAGTTTGCTCAAGTTTTTGGTTGGGCCCTTGCTATCCTCAGTGGCATCTCTAGGGGGGTGCAGGCCGCACCGGGTGACACCATCACAGGGGGTGCAGGAGCAGGATGCCAGCAGAGCTTATCTTATGGTCTCTGTGAAGGTCCTGGCCAGTTATTGGGGTGATCCCGGATTCCCGGCACAGTGACAGCTGCCCCCAGTGTAGCGGTAAAATGAGTATCCCGGACCCGTGAAGATATGTATCCCCTGAAGCAACTGCGCATGTGCCGGTTTCAGGCCGAATAAGCCGATCTCTGACTTTAGCTGAAGCTGATTCCATGGATCACTATGGGTTGCAAGATCAGTTAACTCGGTATAGGTTCAACCCATAGTGATCCGCGGGATCAGCTTCAGCGGTTTGCAGCCTGTAAGGGGTTAACTGTGGCAGCTCTGTGCTAAAGCGCAGTTGCATCAGGGGATACATATTGGGATACTCATTTTACCGCTACACTGGCACCGCTCCTTCCTCTCTGGAGGGGTGACACCACATGTTACCACATTGGGTGACACCAACCCTAGGGATGTCTCTGGCTGTCCTTACATACAATGCAGAGTTCAGAGTGTGACTGATGGACAGAGAGATGTCGAGAAGTTGCTATAGAGTAGTGGAAGCCTAAGAATTAGGTAGGTATTACAGCTTATTCCTTTATCCCTAGACTTAACAAGCATTTAACCCTTGCAGTGAGGGGGGTCCACTGCAAGAGAATTTTTTTCTCCTGCCCTGAGTGGGGCTTTAATAAGGAGAGAGAAGGGAAAGGTTTAAATAAGTCATCAGAAAAGGAAGTGAGGGTACATTTTTGGGATGTTTTTATTGCTGGCTGTATCTTTCTTGTTGGAAGCTTGGAACTTTCTTTACTTGCTTATGTTTCACCAGGAAAAGAAGTGAGTAGCAAAGATCTCCAATGGAATACAGAGTGCAATAAAACTGGGAAGGAGTTAGAACCTCTGTGCGGTTATTTATTGCTGTCTGTACAATAAAATGAGAAATGTTCCCTTCTGTCTTGTCTTCTTGATATCAATTGCCAGTTTTAATTGCATTTTAGTTTACATACAGTATACTACTTTATATAAAATCTTGATAAATAATTTGTGTTTTTTTGTCTTGTTCCTATAATCTCTGGCCAGATCATCTTCTATGAGGACAGGAACTTTCAGGGTCGCTCTTATGAGTGTAACTCTGATAGCTCTGACTTGCTTTCCTTCTTTAACCGATGTGGTTCAATCCGGGTTGAACATGGAAACTGGATGGTCTACGAGTTTCCAAACTACAGGGGATGCCAGTTTTTCTTAAAAAGAGGGGAATATCCCGACTTTGAACAATGCTTGGGCTTCGGGGACTCCATCAGATCCTGTAGGATTATTCCCCAGGTAACTGTTTTAGGAAATATGCCCTAATGAGTTTTTTTTTCGCATACTGTCTGCTTTAATGTGCTATTGTTATTGACAAGGGAGTTTAAATAGGCATCACATATTAATACTCTGTTTAAAAGCCAATACAAATATATCAATTGATGAGGTTTACAACAGGGCGATTCTCTTACTGGAGTCAATATATTTTAGAAGCCATTGGATGATTCCATCCATAACCAAAATATCAAGAAGACTTGAGTTTTAAATTTAAAATAGTGGAAAAGTGTGACAGTACTTATGCAACTAAATTAATATTCCTCATTTACAAATGATACCTTGTAATCCCACTTTTGTAGAAAAAAAACAGTATTAACCTCCCTGACGGTATTCCCGAGTGTAGCTCGGGGTAACATTTCAGTACCAAAAGCGGTAACCCCGAGCTACACTCGGGAATACCATGCGGCACTGCTCCGGCAAGTGTTCTTCACTTACCTTACCCTGCGCTCCCACGATGTGTCCCCTGCAGCGTCCCCGGCCATCTCCTCCGGCCGATGCCGGCATCCGGCTTCTGTGTCCTGTCCCTGTGACGTCGGGACGTACGGGCGCCGCCGGCGGGAAATTTAAAAATTTTAAAAAATGTCATTTTTTTTTTTTTACATTTTACACAGTAAAACATTGCTGTTTCAACCTATTTCACATACATATTGTCCCTAGTGCTTTGTCCTGCGCCCTGCCTGCATTTTGTCTATTCTTTCTGCCTGGAAACTGAGAAAATGTCCATGGCGTCCAAAAAGTGTCCCTTTAGGTCAAAAACGGTTTAGATCAGCTAGAGAACAGCGATAGTAAATCAGAACCACTTGCAGAATTGAGTGATAATGATTCGTGGGGGAAATTCGTCATCAGAAACTGAAAACGATTTTGCGACTTTGCTCAGCGATGTGCGAACTTGGCGCTCTATTTCACATTTCAGTGTTTTTGGTTTGATTATATTATTGAATTAAATTTTTTATTATTTTTATATTATTTTTATGATTATTTATTAAATTATAATTTATGATTTTGTGTTTCAAATTTTATCATACCCGGGATGTTTACTAGACTCTTGTTCGGACAGATTTCAGTGAGTTTTTCCTAAAAATTACAGCCTACAATAAAAAAAATACATATTTCCATGCAAAAAAATGGTACCGCTTTCAGCACCAAAAATCGGAAATAATCATACCGCCAGGGAGGTTAATAAATGTGTTTGTCAGTAAGCCATGAACACAACACCCACCTTTTTTATTATTGCTAGAATCATTATGGTACTGCAGCACACTTTGTGTGCTAAACACTCTTTAGCCTACAGAAATTTGACCCTACCATTAAAATAAGGCTTGTTGGTTGTGTTTGTCTTCCAGGTCAAATGTTTCCAATCTTCCCTTGTATGTGATCCAATAACCTGCCAAACTGTCTACAGCAAGACAGTTCCTACAGCATTAACCTGGAGATGCTCAAGATATAACATTTTCAGTTTGAGTGTCATTGTCAATGTCCATGTATTTTTGGCGAATGCCTGAAAATGGGCAGAAATGGCTGTTTGTTCAGATACCTAATGCGTCCTTTATTAGCTCATAAAATTCCTTCTTGGGAGATAGGTTAAGAAGCATATGTACCAGCAGTGGAGGTGTCATTGGTGGTACAGGACTTTGGGGTAATCAGAGGACCTTTTGGCCATCGGATTAATTATTGGGCTCCTCAGAGGAAAAGCCTCTCTAAAGGGGATCATTACATTTTTTTTCAGCCTCTCCAATAGAGGTGATGTATGATGTGTGTGTGTGTGTGTGTGTATATATATATATATATATATATATATATATATATATATATACACAGATGCATAAGCATTCTTATAACATTTGTAAATTATAGATTGAGAGGCTATAGGTAGTTTTTATTGTATAAATGAATACATTTTACTGATATATTCCTTCAGGATACCCAGTTCTTTTTTTTTGATAGTCTTAAATGTTTTCCACTAATATATATTCTGTTAGCCAAAACTGCACACATTATCCAGATCAATAAGTTACTTAATAAACAACCATGACAGACAGAGAGTTATCAAATGCTTAAAGCCCATCTCTGGGCAAATAAAAAGTTAGCTGCTCATTTTTGACAAGGGGATTGGAGAACGGAGATATACTTACCTGATCCTCCTGCACAAGACCGATCCCTGTGGCTCCTGCCTGTCTTGTTCGGTGGACTGCTCTTGATGTTATCAAACTCAAAGTCCTGCTGTTTGACATAAGGACATCAGGAACAACTCACCGCTGGATTGTGGGGGAGAGCTGTTCACCAGTGAAACTAAGAAACAGGTATATATACCTATACAGTATAGCCTTTCTACTCTCCCCCATAAAAAATGATCAGTTAACCCTTACAGTGCAGACACAGCCACACTGCAGGAGAAAATCTTTTTTTTGCCCAAAGTTGGGCTTTAACATGGAACTGCACTAAAATAACCATTTTTGTAGTTTATAGAGCAGCCTTTCGCAACCTTTTCAACGCAGAGGAACCCTTGGCTTAACTTTCCGGTCTCAGGGAACCCCTGCTAAAAGCGGCTTTATCTACAATTCATGATACATTGGTGTGATGGTCAGTGGAAAGAATGCTCCTTACACTTGTGGTCATTGGGAAGAATTACCCCTTTACAGATTGTTAAAAAGATCAGTGGTGTCAGTGGAAACTTACCTGAGAGGCAAAATTTGCTCATTTCTCAAGGAACCCCTGGCAACCTCTGGAGGAACCCTAGTTGAAAAACCCTGTTATAGAGGGTAAGTCTAAGTCTCTGGTTTTGTCACAGGATTAGAGGAAATGTCTTCAAATGATTCAGTTTTTCTGGTGTCAGAGGTGAAATTCCCCCTGACATTTGGGGAGATTTACCCTTATTTCCTGTTGTGTCTATGTATTTAGGTTTGTTGCCAGTGCGATACCTTAAAAAAAAATCCAGCTTGCTGCATCCTTGGTATGGTTTCTCGTAAAATACAAATTAAAGACACCATTTAAAATATGCAGCGGTATGTACCCTCACTTTGCTAGGTGAACACTCTCTACTCCTTTAGTAAATGCACCCAATGAGTGTAACACGATTTGTACTTTCAGATCACTGGGACAAATTCATGGTGGACTTTAAAAGATTGATGTATTTTAGTTTATTTACCAGAATCCTTATTTTAAACAATCATTATTAATTTAAAAATATCGGTTTTCTTCATGTGCAACACTATGTTAATAGTCAATTATTTTAAAGGTAAACGCAGGACAAATAAATGCACAATTGAAATACATTTATGTGAACGATTTTACCCAGCAGAATATTTGTGATTCTCTTCAGACAATTTTGTAATTCACATACCCCTACCACAGTCAAAAGTATGACACCACTTTCTTTTATGCATTCAGACTTTTCTCCAAGTTATATCTACATGTGTGTTCTAGGTACAGTATGCCACTCATAAATACTGGAACCAGATACATCCAGGAAACAAGCGCAGCCAGTGTAAGGAATACGGTGATCTCTTCACTCTTGTTCCAGCTTCCTGATTGGACAGTCATGACCAGCAGCACACTGATTAAATAATACCTATGCCCTGCCAGCATGTCACCAGTGTTAGACTGACAACGTATACAATGCAACAGAGACTATTTGGCTAACATTGCTTGTCCCTCCTCTCTTCCGAGTTCTGTTATGCATGGGATTCCGGCAAGCTGATGTAAAGACATATTTAGATATTTATACCAGCTGTATTTGAATATATGGAATGACTTTTTGTGCAAATATTTTTTATGCAATGATTTTTTAAGCTACATATCCAAATTACAGTAAACGGTGCTTTTTGTATCTACTTGAGGTTCAACTTTATGGTTATCTTTATTTTATCAGAACACAATACTGAAATTCTAAATCTTGCTTACTTTAATGATGTGTTCTCTGCTTTGAGAAAAAAAAAAAAAAGCACTGTACCACAACCACACACAGGAAATTGCTTATTGGTCTCCATTCACATAAGTATGTTTTATGCATGTTTTAGACGTTGACTGTTAAAAACATCATGCTTGTTGCATCTTTGATGCACTTTCATAAAAATGCATATAGAGTTCAAAGGTAATGCACATAACGTCCTTAGTGAAGGCGCAGCTTTCCATATGGTTGACCAGCTAGGTTCAATACAGTAACTCTCACTGTACAAAACGTTTTCATCTTCTTTCTGAAAGTAGAAACCTGTTTAACATTCATTTATGTCTCTTCCAGCAAACTTCATGTAAGATTAGGGTATATGAGAGAGAAGACTTCAAAGGTCAGATGATGGAGTTTACTGAAGATTGCCCACAAGTATTTGAAAAATTCCGCTATCATGACATCTACTCATGCAATGTTCTTGAAGGACACTGGATCTTCTATGAGGAGCCCAACTACAGAGGGCGTCAGTACTACTTGAGACCTGGAGAGTACAGGAGATACAGCGACTGGGGTGGTGTTACCAGCAGGGTTGGTTCTTTCCGAAGAGCTGTAGACTTACACTAAATTATTAAATAATGCACAATTTTAAATGCTGCTAATAAAATATTGTACTCTTAAGAATGGACCATGTATTTGTATGCTATTTAATGCATCATAAATTTGTAAAATAATAGCTAAGCTTTATAGCTGAACTCTGGGAAAACTAAAAGTCCTCCCTTTCAGTGGGGCTGACCCCACACTGGAAGGGTTAACTGCTTGTATAATTGCAATGTTTCTTCTGCAATAAAAGAAACCTACCTGCCTGCTCGCAGTCTTCTTTGGAATGTACACTGAGCAGTGCAAGAGTCGCTCAGTTTACATTCTGTCACAACGCCTGTATCCTGGGATGACTACACTCCTGTATATGCACATAGTGACATGATCCTGCACCGGATAATGAAGATGTTCAAAGCTCAGAACCTGGAAGAAGCCGGATAGAAAATGCTAGCGCCAACTAGAGACATATGACAGTTGAAGAGAGGTAGGTATCGTGGAGCTTAGCTCCGCCTTCAGAACACTTTTACTAGCCTGAATCTCCACTTCTCCAGCAAATGGCACACCGCTTAAGCAGTAGACTGTCCTGCAGTGTCTTCACATCTAGTCTAGGGCTATGGTCCTTGCATAGGTCTTGATGACATCAGAGGACCTTAGTTAGCTGGTGTGCAGACGATCCTGCGGAAGGGGACAATCTAGTAAGCCATATCATAATATGCTAGCATGTATGGCATACCAGCACATTATGAAAGACTCCCCATATAAAGAAGCCCTCCAGTGGCATGCTGTCACTGCCGACAGGGCGTCCACCTTCACCTGGTCTTCTTTCTGGGTTTGCGGGCTCCAGCAACTTGATTGCTGAGCCGTGATGACGTCACTCCTGTGCATGTACACGGAAGCCACGGCTGTGGCACAACACTCTGAAAGGACAGCATACTTAGAAGTACACAGTACACATCAGAGCACATGCGAGTGTGATGTCTCCGGCTGCAGAAATAGTGAATATCTCCTAAAGGGTGCACGTTCAGGAGATATTCGTTGTACCTACAGGTAAGCTTTATTATAAGCTTATCTTTAGATGCAAGTCACCAAGCAATGTTTACTAACACTGTATCCCTCGCAGTGTGGGCAGACACAGCCCCACTGTAAGGGAGGACCTTTAGTTTTTCAGAGTTCAGCTTTAAACATTAAACACTAGATTAACAATATATTACTTAAATTACAAAAGTAAAAGGTAATATGCCTTATTTTGCAATTACATCATTACTATAGAATGCTGCAAACTGCTTTCCACAAGCATAAATAACATTCCTAATTTATCAGAGCACAGTATATGCAGACAGCAAGTGAGAGAAGCCAAAGGGAAGTTATAGCCACTGCACCATTGGGTTCACCATCACCATCGCCATCACCATCGCCATCACCCTCATCAAGAGGTCCTAGGTATTGCTTATCTATATATTCAAATATTGACAGCATTGAAACAAATGTTTCTTCACAAGTAGGCTGAATTTGATCAGCTGGTAGCTCAAATCCATAGTCGCCTTCATCTCTTAGTTCATAGGTGTAAGAAAATTTGATGCCAATATCTGCTGCCCAGTCTCCTGAAGTTCCAGTAGTAGAATCTGAAACACACATTGAATCAGTATTAGGAAAAAGTAGTGATGCTACAGTATAGGCAACTGTTCACATATGTTGGCTTGATTCTTGCTTGATTTGATTTTTTTTTTTTTACAAATAGCACTCTAATCTTAAAGTCCAGCCAAACGTTTTTTTTTATTGTTTGCCTGACATACACTTTAACCACTTGATGACCAGGCTATAGCTGAATGACGGCTACAGCGTAGTTGTCTAGTTCAGGGAGGGAGTCATGTGATGTCCTTCAGAACTGCGCCTCCCATGCGCCCCCCGGGGGTGCGCATCCAGCGAGCTCTGTGGTCTCTCTGTCTGTGGGACACAGCTGATCACATGACATGGTAAAGGGCCAATCACAGCGTCCTTTTACCACATGATCAGCTGTGCCCAATGTAACAGCTGATCACAATGTAAATACAGTTGCCGGTTATCGGTTGCACTTTCTTCACGCTGCCACAGTGTGAGGAAAGAGGAGAGCCGGTAATCAACAAGTGTATTTCAAAATTCAGAGGCAGTTCAGTGCAGCCCCTAGCCCCAACATTGTCCATCAGCGCAGTCTCAAAAGTGTCTATCAGTGCTGCCAGTGTCCATCAGTGCCGCCAGTCAGTGTCCATCAATGCCACCAGTCAGTATCCATCAGTGCCTCCAGTCAGTTCCCATCAGTGACACCAGTCAGTACCACCTATCAGTGACCTTCAGTGCCACCTGTCAGTTCCTATCAGTGCCACATATCAATGCAGCCTCATCAGTGCCTTATCATCAGTGCCCATCAGTGCAGCCTTTCACTGTCCATCAGTGCTGCATATCAGTGGCCATCAGTGCAGCCTCATCTGCGTACATCAATGAAGGAGAAAAATTACCTGTTTGCAAAATTTTTATAACAGAAACTAAGCAAAAGCATTTTTTTTCCAAAAGGTTTGCTCCTTTTTTGTTTGTTAAGAAAAAAAAAAAATCTAGTTGTGATTAAATATCACCAAAAGAAAGCTCTATATGTCTCAAAAAAATGATAAAAATTTCATATGTGCACAGTGTTGCATGATAGCGCAATAGTCATTCAAAGCGTGACAGCACTGAAAGATGAAAATTGGCCTGGGCAGGAATGAAGTGAAAGTGCCCGGTAGGCAAGTGGATAAAGTGAAACTTAACTGTGCCTGAGCACCACAAACTGAAAAAAGCGATTTAATTCATTTTTATCTTTCAAGAAAAACTCATCCATCCATGTCCCCTTCTTTATTTTGTTTGGCAATGACTTTTAAACCCCCCCCTAGCATTTCTAGCTGGGAGCACATGTTTTTTTGCTCCTTTTTCCCATGACATGGCATAGAGCAGGCCATTGATTTGTAATGGACTGCCCTACATGTGGCAAAGTAACTCATGGGGTATTTTGGTGTGTCACAGTTTGCACATTTTTTACTGCACATTTTTGCCACATTTATTTGCTTTTTTTCACGTTTGCTTCCATATTTGGGGTTCCATTAACAATTAAGTCTAGGATAAGTTCACTTTAGGTGTATAAAGGTAGCCGTACACTATACAACATGATTTAATTTAATGTTAGCTGTAAACAACAAACACGTACTGGATAGATAAAAACACTTAATTTTATGAGAGCAAAATTTCCCTGGTTTAGGCTGCTTCTTTAAGACTTAGTCTGTAAGGTTGTCAATAAAGAACACATAACAGAAATAGAAATTCTTCAAATTGACTATACAGAAACACACTGAAAAATACATTCCCTGGGCAATAAGTTTAAAAGGCTAAGAATAAAGCCTATGTGGCTCATGTCTAAAGTTAAAATAGCTATAAATAATAAGAAAAAAACTATTAAAAATATAAAAATGAAGGAACACTATTATCATTTAAAGTTACACAGAAAGTTACATAGAATGTAACAGAATATGTAAAAAATAAATAATGGCTACAAAAGTGGAAAACCCAACAACAGGTTGCAAAAGAGAGTAGGACAAACCCCCTAAAATTCTTCAAATATATTAACAGTAGAAAAGTCAAGTCTGAGCATGTAGGCCTTTTACTTGATAATTTTTAGCTGGTTACTGAGGACATAGAGAAGCCTAATTTATTAAACACCCAGTAGGCAAGTGGTTAATGACTGGCATATTACCATTGGATTAGCGTAAGGCCAATGTGGTGCCCATATTTATAAAGGGATCAAAGTCTTTACGATATAACTACAGACTGCTTGGTTTTTTTTTTTTTTTTTTTTTTTTTAATTTAAATATTTATTCATTTTTCAAGTAAGACAATACACATTTCCATAGTGTAAGATATAACATTACAAAATCTCATAAAACACTAATTTCAAATCATTTTCTCCCCATGACTCCCTTCCTTTTAACCCTCCCACCTCCCACCCCGCTTCAAAATACCCCTGACATCTATCTGATCTACTTGTATCTCATATCCTCTGGAAACCGAGGCCTGGAAAAGGAAAAGGAAAGAAAGAAAGGCCAATTCCTATATTTTCTCTCTCTCTCCCTGTCACTTCCCCTTTTTCCTTCCTTTCTTTTTGTCCTCTCTTACCCTTTTCTTTATGCTTACTTACTCAGTACCTTCCTTTACCTTCCCTTTGAACTCCTCCCATTTCTCCCATTTCATATGATATGTCACCATCCTATCTTCCTGTATATAATAAAGTTTTTCCAGTCTAGCAATCTGGTCCACTCTATTTATCCAGTCCTCTTCCCTCGGTGCTTCAACTTTACCCCAGAACTTAGGAATCAGGCTTTTTGCTGCATTTAAGTAGCACAATATACTACTAAGTTCTCTATATTTATTTCCAGGTAATTTTGAGTTATGAAAAAGACAGGTTTCAGGATCCAATCCTATCTCCATTCCAGTGATATTCGTGATTTGATTTATAATTTTTTTCCCAATATACTTGTATTTTTGAGCATTCCCACCATATGTGATACATCGTGCCCAACCCTCCACACCCTCGCCAACACCAAGGTTGCTTCTCCTCACTCATCTTGTGCTCTATCACCGGTGTTAGATACCACCTTGTCAAACATTTAAAATTCATTTCTACCTCACGCATGCTAATATTTTCGTGTACCATTCTAAATATTTTCCTCTGTGTGTGCTCTTCCCACTCCACTCCTAGATCCTTTTCCCATTTTTTCTATGTATTTTAATTTAAACTTACTATCTAAGTCCGTGAGAGCTTTATATGCTTTAGCAGTGCTGTGTTTCCCATCACCTCTATCTTCTAAGTATTTCTCAAATTCATTCCACTCTTTCCTAGTTCTAAGGGGCTTCGTCAATTTCTCTACAAATTGTTTCAATTGATTGTATCTCCATATATCTATCCTAGTGAAAATCCTTCCCTCTTCCCTTTTCAAATCCTCCAGTGTTCTTAAGTGTACCCCCTTCAT